CAAACCACATTTAGAACCGTACTTCCAACTCCCAACTTCACACTCATTATCCTATCGCTCCTCCTTCCCACGCTCACCAAATCCTCCCTCCACTTACTGTCCAGTACATTGTCTACACCGTTCCGCCCTTGGTCGTTTGCTCCGCTGTAGATGAGTTTACACCCTGCACCAATGTCCCTCGACTTGTTCCCCCTCCACCTCGTCTCCTGCACACACAACCCTCCCACCTTTCTTCTCTCCATCAGGTCTGCCAGCTCTCTATCCCTTCCTGTCATGCTTCCTACGTTCAGCGTTCCAACTCTTAGATTTTGGACTAACTTCTTTGGCCGCGCCCGTCCTTGACGTGGGAGCCCTCGCTCACTTCTCACAGGGGTCAGGCGAGATCCCTGCGCGTCGCATACAGGGGACGCCCTGGCATTTTCCGAGGCTACATTCAAATGAAGTGTCATTTTTTGGTTTTGGCAGGGATTTTACGGCCGGATGCCCTTCCTGACGCCAACCATCCCCATTTATCCGGGCTTTGAACCGGCACCGAGTTGTGCTGGCTTGCACCCCCAGTGGCTGGGTTGGGGGCTGAAATCCAAATGTGAGTTCATTAATATTTTTAAAACTGAAATAAGAAGGTAATGTCAGTAATTATTTGGAATGGCTTGTTCTGGTCATTCAAAACAACGCTTTATATAACACTTTGGATTTGGATAATTTTTATCACAAATAATATATTATCTAGCTGTTGTAACTAATTAAAGTATCCAAAAATGAAAATATTAAATCTCATATTGAATCGCAATTGAAGAAATTTTATTATTCAATTAATTTAACGTTCAGTTAAATACTCTGGAATGGTGTGTGTTTTGATTTTTGTCGGAAAAATAATTAAGTAATTTATATGCATATTTATTGATTAGTTACATCAGTAATTTGTTTAAGTTTGTATAGCTTTTCACAGTTTATAGAATCTTCTCCAGTTTTTTTCACCATCCACTGTAAAAAGCAGAGCCATCTTCTGCCAGACGATTTTGTCTCTTATTGAAGTCGACGAATTGTTTCATTTCAGGGATTTTCATTTGACGTTTTCTATATAGGTGAATATCGATTATTGCATAATTAGTAAATTTCTTCGTATTTGTAAGTACAACACAGAAATTTATAAATATGTTCACGGATGTTATACGGTAATAAATTATTAATAATTGCGCTACAAAGAAATGTGTTATTCAACAAAATCAAAAAATGTTCTGAAAAGAAAAATTGATATATATATATATATATCATCATTACTTAATAGTAAGTATTATAATTGGGCACATTTGAAAATAACTGTTATACAGAAATATCTAATATATATTTCATTAGATATTTCTGTATAATAGTTATTTTCAAATGTGCCCAATTATAATACTTACTATTAAGTAATGGTGATATATATATATATATCATTAGATATTTCTGTATAATATTTATTTTAAAATGTGCCCAATTATAATACCTACTATTAAGTAATGGTGATATATATATATATATCTGTTTTTTTGTATAATCTGTTTCTATTTGATCCAAAGATTCATAAGAATAATTCCTTTCTGTACTAAATGTGAACTTAATGGTTTAAAGCAATGCGGTGAAACTGAAATGTTAGAGAAAATGAAAGCTCTAACAAAAAAAAGTCGTAATTTTTAAATTGTTGTAGCTATACGATTCATAAATACAGGCCTTAAAATAATTTTACAGCATGGTATACTTACGAAATTATGAATCATGAAACAAATAATCATCATTATCGTATGACTCCAGATTGTTTAACGAAAAACCTAAACATCGTAAAATATGCAGTATCTAAAGCACCAGAATATTAAGTCATCATTATACGATTCCAGATTGTTTAACGAAAACACATAAACATCGTAAAATATGCAGTATCTAAAGCACTAGAATATTAAGTCATCATTATATGATTCCAGATTGTTTAACGGAAACACATAAACATCGTAAAATATGAAGTATCTAAAGCAACAGAATATTAAGTCATCATTATATGACTCTAGGTTGTTTAACGAAAACACCTAAACATCATAAAATAAGCAGTATCTAAAGCACCAGAATATGAAGTCATTATCATATGACTCCAGATTGTTTAAAGAAAACACCTAAACATCATAAAATAAGCAGTATCTAAAGCACCAGAATATGAAGTCATTATCATATGTAGACCTTTCAAAACTCCTGTTATAATGTTACATCACTTAAACTTGTTTTAAAATTATCATTTCCTGAAACGTGTGAAGATATTATAATCAATGAATTTGTAGTTCACTATCAGTCCACTAGCCGAATGTTTTGTAGCAATAACTTGCAAAAACTGAGGATTATTTATAGATCGTACAATAATGCTATCTAATTTTGATATATCTTTTGATACCGCGAAGAAATATGTTACCATAGTGGAGAAATAGTCAATACTAAACAAAACTAATGTATTATTCCCAATTTGGTAACCAAACAAATATATAATATATATGATAAAAGGTGCGTTAACTTATGCAATACCTCTTAATCCACTTTCATTCTGTAATTATAAAAATTAGAGTAAATATTACTTAAAATCCTTTATTTTGTGCCACATCTACATTTTTCGTGAATTTCGTTTTTAATTGCTGAAAAAATCCACAAATAGAAAAAAAGGACACTCCACTTGGGCTTACAGTTTGCAAGCTAGCCCTCGACATGGTGAAAATATTTTTCCTTCCATGGATTCTTCCCGGATGTTATTTGGTTCACTGTCTCCACCTGTGTTTTTATTCACCGAGTTTTCAATCAAGGAATCATGTGGAGATACAACATTTGAGAAATAGTTATCACTGGAATTTAAAATCAATATATAACTCTCAGTTTAATGATTCTTTTAGTTGTTTGGCTGGTTGTTGTTAAGCGCAAAGCTATACATTGGGCTATCTGTACTGTGTCCACCACGAGTATTGAAACCCGATTTTTAGCTTCGTAGGGTCTACAGAGTTACGCTGAACCACTGGGGGGAAGGCAGTTTAATGAATGAGAAACTACCAAAACAGATAATGGGAATAATAATAATATTATTAATCGATCATAAGATTACAAACTCTTGGAAATACGTCTATATTCTAATACTCTAGAATTTGTGGTTTCAACCCACTGATGGACACAGTGCAGGTAGCGCATTGTGCAAAAGCATGTTTCTAGATGGTAATACACATTTTTTTTAAGTATTATCACCAAATTGTACTCAATACTTTATTTTCATTATTCAGTATTTTGTAAACATTTAAGCACAGATCATAAATATTTGGTAGTTTAGTACAAAGTTGTTTACCACTATAGAATCAAATATTACTTTTGTAAACTATGTATATCGCTATAAAATCTTAAGAAATAGAGTTTATAAGGTGAATAACTGTAGCTTTAAAAACAAAACAATTGACATTTTAATAAAAGTTCTGGCAGAAATATTAGAAAATGTTTTCACAAATGCTAAACAACTACATTAATTATGTGTGTCTGACGAAAATTTTTATTAACATATGAACATTGAAAATTAGTAATTCTTACACAAAGTACAAAATTTGGAATAATTAAGACTTGAAAAAAAAAAGAGTATGTTTTAAAATACATTTGGTTGTTACATAAGTGAAACTTGTTGTGTAATATTTTTTTACCATTATTAGAAATGAACAAAATAGCAGTTATAACTCACCTTGATTTTCACAAAAGCGGGAATATTGGCCCAGAATTAAACAAGTCAGTTTCTTGTCTGATGTTGTTTTATTCTCAACGTCGTCAGGTCGGAAGGCTGAGTGGAAATTGAAAAATTATGCAGACATTCTAAAAAAAGTCACTTCGTCATCGAAAATGGCCCACTTTATAATTGAAAGAACTTGTGACAGAGAGAAAACTCTGCGTTATTTATAAAGTTAACTAAAAATAATTTAACATATCTTCATACATTTGGATTGATAATCAGTTTATGTTCAATAGTTTATTGTGGTGTGTTATAAGACAGCTGAAATTTTAGGTGATGGGTGTTTGTCTTTAATGTAACATTTAACATTATTTATGAAAACTTCTCAACTTTCAAAGAACAAGCAAGTTGATGATCTATGCAGTTTTATCCCTTTCTAGTGCGGTTTGTCTACGGACTTCTAACCCTAGAAACCGGATTTCGATACCCGTGGTGGGTAGCTTTGTGCTTAACAACAAACAAACCCTTTCTAGTATAGTAGTTTGAGTTCGTTAAAAAGTG